ATATTTTGAATGTGTGTCATTTTTGTTAAGTTAAATAAATCAGAGCAACATATTTGCAATAAGTTTTGAATTGAACTAGAAAAAATTAGCGACGGTAATTTATGAAATTATTAAAAAAAAAAACATTTTAAGTTTTTGCGTTTTTCATAGGATAAGGACTTTTAAAAACACAAAATTTGAAAAATATATAAATAAAATTCTTAACCTTTATAGCTCTACTTACTCAGTACAATAAAAAATAGATACTAATTTTTTAGTCAGGGTTTGAATTATGCGAATTCCTATTTATACATAAGTCAAATAAATTTCCACGAAGACATAAAAGCAATATTATATATAATACACATTACTTAATTCTTTTTTAATAATACCCATCAAATATTGCTGTACACTTAATACATATTTAATATTATTTATCATTAAAAGTAATACCATATCAAACATACGTATAATAGATGACTATTATGTCATTTTGTGTTATATAAAATGTATTTTGTGTTAAATTATTTTTGAGGTATGCATACGTCATTTATAGCATCACACTATTAATGGAACAGCAATTTTGTACATATTTCTTAAGATTTAAAGATAGTAGAAATATGAGACGCTTATTTGTAAGTATAAAAAACTGCCAACAATTGCAAAGAGTTTCTGAACACAAAATTACTTCGAATCAAATCTCCAGATAAGTTTTTAAACTGAAATATAAAATGAAAATTTGAACATAAAAAATGCCGACTGCATTCGTATGTCTGTCGCGTAGTATATATGCCAAGGGCTATTGAATAAAAAAAAGTACCTAACAAATCTCATCCCATTCAACCTGTCAAGTGTTCTAGATGTAGTAATCTTGTTTGCTGCGCATTGTGCACAATACACACACTGACAGTGGCAGAGAACCACACACGAGTGGAGATCATTCTCCATATTTTTTTGCCAAGATCTTTATCAAATAAGATCGGAAACCGGAATAACAATAATACATTTCTCTAAGTGCCACTTAGATAGGCTGCTGGTCCTTTTTTAGTATTGATGTGTTTTTCTAGTAAATTAAAAACGTTTTCTGTCCTCACAATACCATATTATCTCTTTTATTTGTATTCTTATTCTTTTTCTTTTTTTTTCATTTATTTATTTATTTTTGGTTTTGGATTCTAACAGATGCCGAATGATTACGAAACAGATATAAACCATGTTTTTTCAATTGTAGGTATCACATACAATGCTCTGTTATGAATGGAATAAAAGATGTTATGTTTTGGATAAAAACGAAACATCAGTACATTTAAGAACATATTTTCGTACATTAAAGTCTACACATGAGGAGCGAGCATTATAAATATAAGATCAATTACATAATATATTTTACATGACAACACCCAAAATAAATAAATCACCAATTTTTTATGAAATAAAATATTTAGGTAACAAAAAATTACAAAATTTAAATTCACATAAAACATAAATAAATTTATTTTGACAATTTACGTGATTACCTTTATTCAAACATATGATTTATTTAATTTATCATATAAAACTCATCCCGAGTTGCATTGTTTATTAACAAATGTGAATATTACTTTACAATAAGTAAAAACATTAATTTTAATTTATATGTACATTAATTTATATAACTACATCAAAACCTTTTATAAGTTTAAATAATAACAGTAAAAATTATAATCATATATGTTTAAATTATTTTAGTTACTAGTTTTTACTTGTATTTATTCAAAAATAAATTAGAAAATTATTCCATAAGCTCAGAGTAAGACCGTAATATCCAACTATCATTAAAATATGCTTTTTAATTTAACAACAAGTTTGTGCTCAACAATTTGTTTAACATGGTATTTTTTTTATTTACGAACTACCAAACATCATTAATTATATCGACAATGAAATATTAATTTACAATAAAACATTCCCGTAATTGTTATGAGTTATGACCAATTTAATTTATTTTAATTTTTAACCACGTATTAAAATGTAAGGTTTTAAATCGAAATCTAAAACTACGAATTTAATTGAAAAAAAAATATATTATTATTCACTTTTGCGAAATATTTATGCCAAGAACACATTACAATGTCTATTAACCATTTTTAAAATATCACAAATATTTAAAATAATATATTAATAGAAATATGATATAGAATATGGTTCAAATTTTAAACTTAATAAAAATAACATTGAAAATAACCACGAATATACAATTTTAACTTTTAAGATAAAAGCAAAATTTTTTTCAAACAATTTTGCATCTATTTATTTTTACTTGACTCATTAAAATAAATGAATAGAAGTTATCAACTATAAACAATATTTTAAATTTAATTGAGTCAAACAAATTTCACGAAATCAGGCAAAATTTTCAGAGACATATCTGTATCGACATTATACATATTATTCAAACTTTAAAAATAATTATTGATTTCTTAAATCAAAAATATACAGAATATTTGAATATAAAAATTTAATTTAATTTAAGTACTATTAAAATAATATAATAAAAACCTGTTGAATTTTAAGATACTTAGATAATTTTTAAATATATTATTAAAACTACCTTTACATACTAGATAATATTTTCAGAAAATGTGTATTCTAATAAAATGAACAGAATTTTAATTTATTTTTTTTAGAAAGAGGGAGAGATAAAAGGGTTTTAATAAATTTCAACAATTTAATAACATGATTAATTATTAAAACAATGGTCATAACTCATAAGTTATTATAAACTTCTTTATGACTTTTAAGTTATATTGAATTTACTCCTGGTAAATTTAGTAGCCTATTAGAAACCAAACGTGTACATTAAGTTGCCTATTGAAAACAAAAATAATACAGATTTTCTTTTAAATCTAAATTTAAGGCAGTAAATTGTTTTTACTATTATATTTATATTTTATATCCTAATTCAAAGTGCTAATAAGAAAGCACTAGAAAAAAATTAAATGTTACTCAGTTATTTCAGTTTCTAAAATGTTTATCTTCTGAACAAAAATATTTGGTTAAACTATAATAATTAATAATAATACAAATATATACATGATACATATATAATATATATTAATATATAACTATAAACGTCTAAAATCACTTTTAACTTAAATTATTATGCTAAATTAATTTAAAGTACTGTTAGGGATTATTTTTAAGGTAGTGACTAGTAGGTAACAAAATTTGAATGAAACATACAGTCACAACCAGAGTGTAGCATTTCATATTCATTTTTAATTCTTTTATTTTTCTTATTGATATAATATACTATATATTATAGATAAATTTAACTTAGTGGAAGACAAGTGAAAGTTGTTATTATTAAAATAAATATTCCTTTCAAGAAAATAAAGTTTTAAAAATAAAACCCATTACATAAACTATTTATTGTATTATATTATATTAACTTTATCACAATATGATAAACAATTAACAATTAACAATTTATTACAATCATTGTTTATTGAATAAAATACTAAAGAAAATAATACTATATGATTAAAATGTAATCTCAAAAAAGTAGCAATTTAAAATAAGTATTATTTAGTACCTTATATAAATTTAATATATTTTTGAAACTATTATAGGTGTATAATTTAAAGTATAAATACACTGATTTTACATTTAGTAAGTGCATTATAAACTTTCTTAACATATATTATAAAAAATATGCATATTAAAAAAACCTTTTAAGTATATTTTATAGAAGTTAATAATAAGAATCTAAGTCGCAATAAGCAACAAAATTATTTAATATACACTAAACTAAGATAATAGTCATAAGCATGTACAGATATTATCTTAGCAATATAGTCGTAAATTAGTATTCAAATTTATACTTAAGCTCTATTCAAAATATTTGATACAGGTTACATTTTTTTATCACTAACCATTTGTATCGTTACATACAAATTAAATACAGTATCATATAAAACATATTATTCATTATTTTTAGATTTTTTTATTTTATTTCTTTTCATTTTTCCAAATAAATATATTATATTATGATATTAAAAGTAAAAAAGAAGCAAAAATATAAAAAATATATTAAAGGTTATAGATAAATGGGAAATTTTTTAGAAACTGAACATTAAAAATTAATTTAGTATAATATATGGTTATACCTATTACATAATGTAAATGCAACACTATTATTTTGCTTATTAACATCTAATGTCTATTATCTAAAAAATTATAAAAATGACAAAAAAAACACACACAAAGCATTAAACAACCTACAGTTACTTGATAGTAATACTAATTTTCAGTTTCACACTTATACCATTTATAAAATGATACTATTATCAATTACTATATATTATAAACGCTTAAATCAGAAAGAGAAAAATGTTTCTATTACAGAAAATAAACAAATAATTTGTTTAAATATCAACAGTAAATGTATAGAATACTATTATTGTATTAAGTACTATGGTACTAAATACATAATTGCATAAGCATTAAATTGGGTATCTAGATTAGATTAGTATACTAGGTACTTTATGAACTAATGTCTAATATATTTAATAAAAGTGTAATAAGTATGTTTCACAATAATATACAATGTGTATTCAGTATACTATATACTAAAAATCATTGATATTTGATTTAAAAAAAAATATATCACTATGAAATATAATTAATTTTATATTTTTAGTATGAGAATATGACAACAGTAATTAACATAGTTACTACTTATTTATAATTTCATAATTACATAAATAATATTATTATTATTTTTTTAAATGATATATTATAGAAATTGTGCAATTAATGTGTATTCAAATGGTAAGAATATAATTGATTAAAAAATGTTATCACCTTGATAGTTTAAAACGTAAATACTTAATATACATTATATTATCTATGAATACCCTGCCTATAACATGAATATGAGTTTACCATATACCACAGTTGTTATACACAAATTCTAAAGCACACATATTTATCATCACAAAATAATTTATGAATATTCTAAAACTATAATAGTCACAAACCTTTTTCTGCTCTCTGCCATGCTAACGCCGAACATAATAAAGCCAATGTTTTTCCAGACCCTGTAGGACTTTCCAAAAGGCAATTTTGTTGTTTTTGACAGCCACGAATAACCTAAATGGAAATAGAGTCGATAAAGGATATATCTATTATCTTGTATTGACATTATTGAAAAGCTTACCTTATCCATCATGGAAACTTGAGAAGGATATGGTTTGACTGGCATTTCAATTCTAACACCACCAATTGTATACGTGAACACTGGTTGAACATTAGATCCAGTGTTCGACATCGTTATGGTCAATAACGTTCAACTACACACCAAGACGGTAAAAGTTGATTTCAATTTTGTTCAAAAACGGTTTAAATTTAAACGATATAAATACAAAGAGCAGAAAACGAGAGTTAGTCAAATTAAAAATGAACACTAGAATTCAATGTCTAACTCTAAGTTCGGTGTTATTTAGTATTTACATAAGTAATTCATAGTAATTGATAAGTTATGCGGTTTTTAAAATATTTGAAATTTATGATAGTACAATAGGAATATTCACATTATTTCCATGTGACGTTGTCAACTGATAACACGAATTAAAGCGGGAAATAGTTTATTACTTTCTATCACAGATGGCGTTGCATACCCCTTTTCAGAATAAATCGAATAAAATATAATATCTTAACGTCCTATTACTCCTATTGAGTACCAACGTCCACGATACGTATAAAAATAAGAAATAAATCAATTTTATGCTTCTAATTTCTAAATTGAACTTAAAAGAATTTCAATATGCATCTATTCTAACTTAAATATTGTGCAGAATATAAAACTTATTTTAAACTTTTTTTTTTTAAAATAAATATGATATAATTTTTCGTATTGCTTTGTATGAATATAATAATTTGGCCAGTACCTACACAGCCTACAGACCATTGGGGGTCTACAGCCGTTTTGGGGGTGAGGCAAGTGAAAGGACCTGTAATAATTATTTATAAGAATAAATATTATTTCTGTTTTATATACTCGTTGCATGGTTATTACTGTTTGAAATTAGAATATTTTTTATTTATTACTTAAATATATATATATGTATATAGGTATACTGTAGACTTACAGTGTTTTTTTTTTTCTATTTTTAAGTTTCACAAGACTTGAATTTGACATTTTGTAGTAATATTTGTAAAAACGTTATAGGTAAATTTTAAATGTTAATACTTCATCGCCACTGTCACTATATGCGTACACACCGGGGGAGGGGGACTGCAGTTGCAGCCTCTCCTGCAAGCTAAATTTTTTTCCCAAACTATTGTTTTAAAAAAATATCATAATATAATTTTATATAACAAAAAATGTGTAAATATTGCGTGCGCGATACACAATATTTTTGTACTGTCCAATTTTACGCGTACCGCAAGCGGTTTATCGGTGATAACGAGTGTTTATAGATACACCGCAATCACGTGATGGTTTAATGTGTTTAAACTTTAAACCGTAGAGGTAATTTAATTAAAACCGCACTAACACATTCTATTACCAATATTTATATTTTAATCTGTAATTAAATTAATGATATAAAAAATTAGAATATTTCTATCATCAATATTAATTTAACTATAATAACTTATATATAAATGTATATACATTCTGCTTCTCCTGCCAGCAAGGTTTGCGGACGTCTACGAATCTACGATTGTCACCAAATCAGTGTATCTGTGTATACACTATACGCATGCATTATAATATACTCGCACACCATGCAAATACAAAGAATAATGTGATGAAAACGTATGAAAAGTACTGAACCAAACTCAAGGTAAGGTATTACAAAAAAATGTTATTAACAAATATTAACTGTTAAGTCTTTAAACCATTAATATTTTTAAACTTACTTTTATTTCTGTTTTAATAAATCTTAAAATTTTGAAATCATGATAAATAATAATATACGTAGGTAAACTAGCCGATGGACCAGCGGACGAGGTTTAATAAAAATAAACCGGTGAAGACGCATTGCTGTATAATAGCTAGGTATCGTCAAGCCTCCATAGAGTAAGACGCTGTAATTGGTGTATTAAATCAAAATTAATATAATGTAGGTATCATTGTATTAAAAAATTATTCTCTACAGAAACAGCATATATTTTTAATGATACTTTTGATTTAATATTTTTAAATTATTTGATAAATGTTAAGTTACACTAATATTTTTTAGGTACAGTATATAATGTACAATATATTTAATGAACAATAATAATAATAATATACGAAATGGCAAAACGTTTCAAATCCTTATAAATTAAATAGTATTTATAAAACCATTTTTTTTTCTTGATTAAATATCCTATTTTGTATTAAGTCTATAAAAAAGGGGTTCACAGTATGTATTTTCGATGTTTATAAATTATGGCAAAACAAACTAATGAGTGATATTGTTCTCATTTACAAATTAGATTTTGTAGTCTCTCCCAATTATAATGTTAAATATATTTGAAAATTGCCAAAACCCATATTTTTCCAATAATTTGTTTAAATTTATTGTTTACATTAATATCTTTTGCAAAAAAGTTACCACTTAAAATTTATTTTCAATAATTTCGATTAAAAAATAGATTATTTTTTTTCGGATTTATTTTTAGTTAGACAATAATATTAACTAAGTACTATTTTTTTTTTTCAATATATGAATTTAATTTTTGAAAATGTATAACATTTATGTGTACCAAATATGCATTATCAAATTTCACCCACTAACTCGTAAAATTCAAATTTGAATTTGTGTCTTACCTAGCTATTTTTTTTAATCAATCATTAAGAATATAGAAATGCATACAATTCCACACTCTAGTTATGATATATTTAAATTTTTTAATTAAGTTATGATTACACGGCGTTATGAATAGGCTATTTACGTATATCACTGTCGTGAGTTAATATTTCTAGTATCTCATAAAATATGATATTATAATATATAAGTATTATAGTAGCTTAGTATAGTTATTAAAATACAATTATATTATAAAAATCAAATATATTTTATAAGTGTATAAATGTGAAAATAAGTAAAAATATATTCTATTAAAACATAATATAAATATTTAAAAGTAAAACTTTATTATATTACGTAATATGTTTTTATGATCATTGATTGAATGCAGTTTCAGATAAACCAAGTAATAAATAATTAGCAATAACTTTTAATTCTTTTAGCATAGTTGTAAATAGTTTAATTCATAATTATTTCAGAAGTAACGCGGATTTTCAAATAGGTCGACTAACTGTATAAACCACCAATAACTACACGCCACGACTTGGTGCATGTACACTGTACAGTTAACTATCGAGTACAAACTTATTCAAACATGCATGCCATGGGCAAACATTGGGAAGAAATTAGCAAGGGGAAAGCTTATCCCCCTTAAGGTTTGTTCCCACCACTCTATACTTCACATGCTACCATTTCTAAATCTTACCAGAAACCGCCACAATACAGCAAGGTGACGATTCTATCAGCATCTCCCTGGCCTTTTTTCTTCCTGTTTGAGTATAAAGATTTCCCCAACAAACTTGTTAGAGATTCAGTACAACTACTCCATACTTCATGCAAAACTCTGTCTTTCTCACCTGAGTTAGTCGGGAGTTTTCAAATGGAAGCCCACGCATAATGCCAATCGCAGATCTGCCGTTATTAGAGAACGTTCTAAATGTGCGTGGGATTAATCTCTACTGTTCCTATTAGAGAGTAGAGACTCAGGAGCAGATCATGATAAATATCATAGTTAGTCATTCGGCGTTAATTTACTTTATTAATATAATATGATATTATGATGTAACCATACATATTATTTCATTAATTATTATATTTTATAATGTTCTGTAACCAATATTTTAACAAATAAAAATTACAAATTAAAATTAATTTCAAATTTTAATTATAAATTATATGATACATTTTTCTTGTTAATCCAATTTGCAAACAAATAAAATAGTGCTACAAAATAGAAGAATCATTATTAAGTGACTTGAAACTTTAAAAAAAACTAAATAACTGATTATAATAAATACAACATGTAACTAGTTAAAAGTAATCGAGTATCTTCGAATGTATAGTACCAAAAATTTAAATAAAGAAATTTTGTATAAGCTGATAAAGTTTTACTTGTGACTATGTTTAAGCCATAAAACAATTTTAGTTCTTAAATACATGATATGAAAATGTTGTACATATTATTATGATAAACCATATTATTTTTCTCTCTGAGATGAGATTTTTGTAGAATTTAAGTGTGCTCAATCAATAATTATCATATAAATATTTGCATATTACACATTGTGTTTTATTACATACTTAGGAATATGGAGCAAAAGTTATAGTATATAGTAATAACTAATAATTAATATTGTAGACAGATAGCAGTGACTATAATAGACGAAGTGTATTATTGTTATTAACGCTAAATATTTATTTTATGTTGGGTGTTACTACTGGGTAATTTCTCAATTTATATTATTCACCGTTCATATTGTATTCATCGCTTATCAAACAGGTTTGATACAGAAATTTAGTATAAATTGAATTTTCCTCTTTAATAATAAATAAATATATATAAATATATATATATACAATATATATAAACATATATATTGTATATGTGTGTGTGATAGTCACCTTTATGTACGCATAAGCGTAATCTGAGGGGGCTGCTCCTCAGTTATTTGAATGAGTGGGCAAAAGTGTCTTTCAACCCTACCCCCCAATTAAGAATTTTTTTTTTTTTTATATATATTTAAATAATTTACAATCTATACAACTTTGTGTACAATGAACAAATTTAATAGTTAATGTAATATAAAGTAACAGAATTTAACATTTGTGAGCAGGCACTCAGCAGCACCACCCGATAATTAAGAATTAAAATTAAATTTATTGTAACATTAAAATAAACAATGTGTTGTATACCTAATAAATAATAATAATCCTTTTTAATCCTAATAATAAATAATCATAAAATTAATAATATTATTTAGTCATGGACAATTATATTTAGATTAGAACAATTATTATAATTAGATAAACATCTTATTGGAAAAATTGTCATTTGGATTTATATCGTAAATATATATATAGGTAAAAAGTATTTGTATGACATATTTTATATTTTATTTATTAATTTATAACTGTGTTTTATATACACGTTTTTTGTTATTATAACCTACCTTTAAGTTTTTGATGTTTAGATTTTTAAACTTTTCGTTTTATATTTTTTTTTCTATTACTAACAAATAACTATTATAAGTATCTACTGCTTTATATGTGGGAGAAGGTAAATTCCTTCTTTTTCATACTTAATAGATTTTTAGTTTTACCAGAGAAATAACTCTAGATTAAGCTTATTTATTTATGGTCACCGATTTAAAAAAAAATTCATTATTACAATATTATTATTGTACGTGCATTTTATACAATGTATACTTACAATAATTATTATTAAATTAGATCAAATGCAATC